GCAGTAGAGGAAGCCCCAATCACCTGATCTCACTTAGCTATGAACTTAGCTTTGTGCCATCTGGAGGCCATTCTGGGAAGAGAAAGCCATTCATTCAAGGCAGTTTCAATCAGAGAAGGTGGTTGGCTTCATCCCAAGATCAGATGTAGTAAATCTAAGGTAGGACCTTTTTATCCATGCTAATTTCCAGGTGAGGAAGCTGCTGTTGCATGTCAGGGACACACTTTGAGAAGTGTTGGTCTAGTGTGTCTGGCTAGTGAGTGGGGGGTTGTTTAGGTTTTGATGTTTATGGAATTTCTATTTTCCTGGAGCTCCAGGAAGACCTGACAAGTAGGCTTAGCAAGATTGTTGTGACTAAATGAATAACCTTTATAGTTAGTGTGGTTAGTGTTGTCAACTTGACAGGACCTGAAATCACCTAGGAGATATGCCCTAGGTACACCCATGGAAGATTATTAGGTTATTAGCTCTATTATATAAAGCATTACTAAATTAGGTTAACCTCTGGGCATGCCTGTGAGGGACTATTTCGTTTTGGCTAATTAAAATGGGGAGATCCACCCACTATGGGTGACCGGCATACTGGACTGATTAAAAGGGAGGAAGTGACCTGGGTACTAGCATCATCTGGTCTCTGACTGCAGTCAGTGCAACTAGCTCTCAAACTACTGCTGTCTTGACTTTCCTTGATGGAGTACCTTGCAGCTATAAAACAAAATAAACTTTTCTTCCTTAAATGTTGCTTGTGTAAGAGTATTTAATCATAGCAACAGAGAAGTAACAAAGTATGGGAGCCCACAGAGGTTTCTTAGTGAGATCTGAGCTTGCTTTACCAGCAGGGCTGCATAAGAGGATGATTGGACCATGGGCCTGGGTACCAGGTATTTGGAAGGCTCTACACTTGGTTGTATCTATCGAGGGGGAGATCTTTTACCTTGCCCCTTGGCATTGTTATAAAAAGCCCTTTTGAAAAAAGTTCTGGGCTGGTGGATAGGATGCAGGCCCTCTCGAGGCCATCCTGTGTTTCTTTCTGTTTCTCTCCCCTCTTTTCTTCTGTCTAAATGTCTTATCCCTTACTCCTCAAAAGTACCCAGTTAAAGGTGGGGGACTGATCCCCCACAACAAAGGCAATTAGCTTTTCTTAACCTGGTTGGGTAGTGTATGTTAAAATCTATAGTAATCTCAATCAGGAGCTGTAATCTGTTGTCCAGGAAAACTGGGAATGTAGGGGGAAGAGAAAAACACTATTTTCAGAATGTTTCTCCTTTCCCTAGCTGGTTTATGGGAACACTGAAACTCAGAGACAGAAGTGGTGAACTTCACTGGAAGTGGAAGAACACAGACCCCAGACACATAGTGGGATACCCTAAGGAGTCATATGGTGGATCCCTTGAGTCACAGTGGGATCCCATGAGCTCTGCCTCCTAAGCCACTGAGCAGCTATTTCCTCTCTCTCTCTCTGCTGTCTGAATCCAGTTCTGTCTTGCCTGCTTCTTCCTGACATGTGTGATGGTAGTAACACTTGATTTCTTACGTTTCAATGCTCTTCTTTCTGTATATTGATAGCCATGTTGCTTGTTCAAACAATGCCATGCTGTGATGTATTCACTCCTGGGTCTATCCTATAGCCAAATAGTGACTTTGGACCATTAAAACTTAATGACTTGAGTTCTGCTGTGCCTAACATTAATTTTTGTTCACATTTGAAGGACAGACAGATCCTTTGACTCATTTTTATCTTTTGAGGGGACACTTGCAGCTGGCCTTCTCTGGGCCTGCACATACAGAGTCTCTGTGTCCCCCTTCAAGTAATAAAAAAACCCAACCAACCAACCAACCAACCAACCAACGAAAACCCCAAAAAACAAAACACAAAACACACACACACACACACACACACACACATACACACACACACACACACACAAAACAAACATAAAAATACCCCTTCCTCTGATTTGGTGGGATGTACAGCAGGGAAATCCAGGGCCAGGCTGTTTTTAAATTCATTTACTTCCTTAGCTGGAAGCTTGAGTCTAGTACAGAGACTGGTACCTGGAACTGTCCCAGGGATGACACAACCATTCTCATGCTCTCTGGTGCCCTGCCTGCCCCATTCACAGTCCACATTCCTGCATGAGCCCCCAACTCCATCAGACTGCCCTCATCCCAAAGCCTCCAGTTCCGAGCAGGCAGGCCTCCCTAGAACTCCAAACCCTACTGTTGACCCACACAGGACTTCATGGTGTGAAACTGCCACTCTCTCAGCCTCTTCTGCAGCTTTTGGTCTTAAGTCACACACTTCTGCCAAATGAAGCTGCTATGCCTGGGCAGGCTGCCCTCATTCATGCCTGCACACCTCTGTACTTCTGGTCTTTCGGACCCAGAACTCAGCCTTGGTGCCTTTCCTCTTATTTTCTCAGTCCAATTCTAGGTATCTCTTCAAAAATACTTTCATGTAAAAAAATACTTATTATCTCAAATCTTGGAAAACATTGAAAAAGAATGATTGGAAAATGTCCATGGACAAGAGCAACTGTGGTTCACGCTTTCTTTGATTTATTTTTGCATTGTGTACATATCTGTTGGCCACATCTTAAAGTAGTTGGTATCCTGCTTGTATCACTTAGTGTTACATGGTGAGTTTTCTTCTCAGTGTTTATGTTCGTTGAAAAAAATTTTAAAACAGCTATATGCTTAGTGAATATATTATATGTAAATCAAGGTATATTCGAAGTTTTGTTTGTATAGTCCTTATTCTGGTAGTTTCTTTTTTCTTTTTTCTTTTTGTTACTTAAAGTAAGGCTACATTAAGAAAATTTAATTCTGGTATCTCTAATTCTTCTTTTGGAGCAAAAATTCCAGATTGGAAATACTGGTACCCTATATCTTCTCAGGCTCTTGCTGTCACTGAGTAAGGCTGCTACCCAGAAAGGACATAGAAATTGACAAACTTATCAGAGGATTGTGAATATTCACATTTCAATAACCTTCTGAATTTTGCAAGTCACAGTGCTTTTTGCTTGGTCCTCCACCATTTGATTCACACTTTGCATTTCCGTGGCGAGGCTGAATGTGTTTCTACATTTCTGAACTCTATGTGTCCCCTCTTCTTTGACCATCCTTTTCAGTTTTCAGTTGGGGTTGGCATGTCCACCCATTTTCAGGGTGTGAAGGAAACATCTGCTCCCTGTGAAGTTCTTCGGACAGGCCTGCATGTAGCCATTGTGGGGTGCCCTGGCACCGTGTGTGCACATTTATTACTGAGCATTCACAACCATTACAGTCTTGTCTCCCTCCAGTGGACAGCTAGCAACTAGCACCTAACCAATTGCTAGGCACCGGGTCTGTGTCGATGATTTAATAAGTTAATGATAGATCAGGGAGGATCACTCCACAGTAGACTATAACTGGACATGGATTTCATCAGGGCAGTTTGCCAGCATTTCATGTAAAACAAACAGGAACATTAAGCTCTTGGATAAGCCTAGGAAATTTCGTTTAAGGTAATTAAAAGGCCAATAGGATTTAGGAAAATTCATACTTGCATGGCTAGAGATTGAAATATTGCCGGCAATTGCTTGCTTACTAAAAAAATCAGATGTTTTTCTTTTATTAAAAAAAGTAACATCCTCCACAAAATATTATAAAATTACATTTATTTATTCATTTGGGGCTTTATTAAATTATCTGGACAATTGCCTTAGCATACCTTCTAAAAGTAGGACACAAAAAAGATGCACTTCCTCAGGAAAAAAAAGCATCATTCACATTTAACATAGAAATGAAAGCTAAACCAAAACCAACTGCATTTTTCATTGTGTTATACTCTCAGATTATACTTCCTATATCCCTATTTGACTTTTCACAGTTTTTCTATAAGATATATATATATATATGTATGTATACACACACACACACATATATATATATATATATATATATATATATATATATAAATTAATATCATCTCTGAGCTCTCAGAAAAACCAGAGGTGAGAAAATCATGTTTTCTGCTAACCTGGAAAGCAGCAAGCACCTCTTGCCTTTGGAAGGGACTGCAGGCTGGAGGCCTTGAGACCATCTCAAGAGTCTGAATGTTCAGGACGCACAGGGACTGGAAAATTCTCTCATGTCCCCATCTGCTGATTTACAAAAGGTGAGAGCTCTCACTGTGAGCTGGAGCTAGAACCTTCTGTCCCACTGCGAGGGCACCCCCTTTTCTGGGCACCCCCTTTTCTGGGCATCCCCCCCTTCTCTTTTGGCCATAGTGTTGCTGACCAGTGTAAACTCATGTAATTAAAGTGCGCCACAGTGTCCTTCTAAGCTATGCTTTACTCTGGTTCTGCGAGCACTGCTCACAGGAGCCTCAGTGACATCTCATTGTCTCTACAAATAGCAGAATGAAGCTGTGATAGGCAGGTATGAAGGCCATTGCCATCACTCTCCACAGAGGCTAAGTCCTGGGCAGGTCTCTTACTGTGCTAAGTGCCCTGTGAGTTCACACAGCTGAAATCGGTAAATAATATAGCTCTCTGGTAAGCCACACTCCAGGATTTTTCCAAGAAACAAACCCTTTCCTCCAAAGAATCCATCCATGTGATAAATGAGGTTTTTATGAATTGAAAATTTTAGAGTCAACAACCAAATTATTGATTCCCACTGACATCCCTGCCTCCACCTGCAGGAGACCAGACTTCAAAAGATCACAGTTTTCTTTTTTTCCACTTTGAGTTGTGGGTCCTAGTTCCATCTTGCCTCATATACACTACGTGGAAGTTGTACATCTTCACCCAAGGCCAGTGAGCTGCCTGAGATGGTCTCCTCGAACTCCTGATCTGGACTGGTTTCCTGACTCACTTCTCTGAGTAGTATCTATAATTCAGATTATTCTTAGGCCATTTGCCAAAAACAAACAAAAAAACCAACCAAACAAAAAAGCAAGAGCAATTACGATACAAAATAAGTTAAGTTTTACTGGAAAAAAAAATAACGTGTGCCATTGTTAAGTTTGTTTATGAATACCCACCATATAATTATAAACAGATAGTGATGTTTCTACCGTATTTAAATAAAAAATCCATAGGTTTCAAGACTGCACTAAAAATTTAGGGCCACCAGGTGCAAATATTGGCACAATTAATATCATTGCTATTATCAACACTTTTAACATTGTTTACAACATACACATTTTAGTTGCTGTTATTAGCACAATATTTTAAATTGGACCAAAATGGTTTATGGATACAGACTGACAACATATTGTGAAATCAGAAAGTTTTGAAAATAGATGTTTTAGTTATGGGAGATAGTTTTAAATTTACTCTTATTATTGTCTCTCTCTGTGTGTGTCTGTCTCTGTGTGTGGTTAAATGCAATGAATTCAGGTGCCCATGGAGGCTAGGGGGTGTCAGATTCCCCCAGAGCTGGAGTTACAGACAGCTGTGAGCCACCTGGATGGGTGCTGGGAAACAAACCCAAGTCCTCTGGAAGAGAAGCACATGCTTGTAAATGCGGAGTCATCTCTCCAGCTCCCCATGGGAGATCATTTGTAAGGATTTAAATTGTAGAATTTTTTTCCAGTCATGGTTTTGTCTGAGTGTGTGGTATATTTTTAGCTTACCAGAGCATGCAAAGCCGTCACAATGTGGATTCTGTCTTAGATTGGTAGGAATGGCTGTGCCAGTTTCTGTAGATCAGAGGTCTTATGAAAATCTTGTGAAATAACATCCGGAATACTGAAGTCCTGAAAATGATGAAAATCCAGGGGTCCACGATTGAAATCACAGACAGAAAACGCAAGGCCTGGAGATCTTCCGAGTCTCCTTCAGTTGTGTTGACAAGTTTAAAGGCTCCATAGTAAGCACGATACTGTTGGGGAGAAAAAAAAAATTACACAGAAAAGGGTAAGGACATAGAAGGCTGATGGAAGGAACAAATCCCCTTACTTTGTTTATCTTAACCCAGATTTCTCACACTGTGTCTGGTGGGTGTGGATGAGGAGCCTGCAAAGTGGGGAAACTGAGGTATGTCTAGGAGACCAATCTGACTGACTAACTCCTTGAAGGCTGTTCCAAATTCTGATTTCAAGTTTCCAGGATGTTGCCAGATTATGAAGATATCACCAGGCTTCACACAGATTCTTTAAGTAGTATCCTTACATGCATACTTTATTCAGCTGCCTACTTTCTGCCCACTCTAATTAGCTTACTTAGAAGTAATTGCCACATGCATAGACACACCAATAAATAGAGCTTTGAACAGAAGTAAAAAGACAGGAGCTCTGATGATAAAAAGACACAAGGTGACCAATGAAAGAACTGATCACCTCATGGAAATTGTTCTTTTAAATTGTCCATGTAATTTTCTTTCCTTCCTTTCCTTTTTTTTTTTTTTTTTTGAGACAGTGTTTCTCTGAGTAGCCCTGACTGTCCTGGAACTCTCTTTGTAGACCAGTCTGGCCTCGAACTCACAGAGACCCACCTGCCTCTGCCTCCCAAGTGCTGGGATTAAAAGCATGCACCATTACTGCCCAGCTGTAAACTGTTCCTTTTAGTAAGATAGACTCTAAGATTGGGGGAGGGTGTACCCAAAGACAGATGCCTACTTACCTGTGTCCAGCTACTTCCTATGCCTTGATCTTACCTTGGGTCCCTGTAGTTTCCTTGGAGCTCTGCAAAATGCCTCAAATCATGATTCTCCCTGCCATTAAGGTCACATTGCTGCCTAGATCAGCACAACCCCAGACCATCATTCTAAGGCTGCGTACCTTTTCTTTTGGCATTACACTTCCCATGGTTACTGCGATTCTAAATCCATAATGAAAGAAATTGACCCTAATGGAACAGAAACTACACAAATCCAATATTAGTAGGGGAAAGTGTGGCTAAGAGCACTCAAGGCCACCCAGGAGCATCTCTCAGAGGAGATGCACATTCCTAGAATCAATCTCCTTAGCTTTTGACTTGCTCCTTTATAACATTTCAGTGGTCTTGCCGATTTCAATCCAGTGCATATGGAAGATGCCTTACATTAGACTCATCTGTTACTGATATACGAACACTCTCTCTCTTCTCTCTTGCTTCATAATGCCAACAGCAGTCCTAATGGCCAGTGACCTCTTAGAACCTTCAACTCCCAGGCATTGTTCTACCTTTTGAAATTTTTATTTTCTCCTTACAAAAGTCTTGCGAGTAAAGACAGCCATTATCTCCATTTTACAAGCCTGGAAATGAATTAAATAGCCAAACAGTACTGTCCTTCAAACCAACTTTAAATATTACTCCTTTTAGGAGTCTCTTTGCGCCACTGGCTAAAGGTCTAAGCGTCCGGGTTGGAATCTTCTCTTCAGATGTATGGTTTCAGGGAGGACATGGTTTTCTTGTTTTTACAGAAAAGGCCATTGTTCCTGCTTTCCCGGATTCTTGTGAAGATGGAATGAGGTGGTGTGAAGAAAGCTCCGGGAGCAGGGGCTGCTACATCACCAATACTCGATAAGTAGCTTGCATAATATTTCCTCAACTAGGAGTTGCCCATTTCCTCCACTACATTCTCCGTTAGCCTTAATTACTACCCTTCCCTTTTGACTTGTGCCTGCACCGGGGTGATTTCCTCATTTTGTATCTCACTGAGCTACAGAGTGTGTCGGATGAGGGAGGTACCAGATATATGCTGAATGGATATGACTCGGACCACAAGCTTGGGTTGATTTAGAAACAAACATTTCACAGATATGTTTTATATTGTTAGCTTTCTCCTCAGAGAGGAGCTTGGTGAAATGTAATTCCAACCATGCTAGAATGTTTGGTAATGGAATGACACCTGTGTAATTAAAACTTGTATAAAAAAGGGCCATTTTGTCCTTTTAGATTAAAAACATATTTAACTTGTTTATTTTGCAGGTTAGGGTTGTGGCACCATAGTACACATACGCAAGTCAGAGGAAACTAGTGGGAGCTGGTTCTTCTCCTTCTGTCACGTGTGTTCTGGGAACAGAACTGAGGTCCTCAGGCTTGGCAGCAAGCACCTTGACCTGCTGGACCATCTTGCCAGACCAAACTATTTTCTTTCTATGCAGTATTTACCCATGTCAATTCTACTAGGTTATCTTTTCTTTTACTTTTTTTTTTCTGCAATGTTGGGTTTTTGTCAATCTGACAGAAGCTAGAGTCATCTGAGAAGAGGAAACCTCAACTTTGAAAATGCCTCAGGCTATAGGCAAACTTGGGGGGCATTTCTTTTTTCTTTTTTTGGGGGGGGTTGAGACAGGGTTTCTCTGTGTAGTTTGGTGCCTGTCCTGGATCTCACTCTGTAGACCAGGCTGGCCTTAAATTTGCAGAGATCCTCCTGGTTCTGCCTCCTGAGTGCTGGGATTAAAGGCGTGCACCGCCGCAGGGTATAAGAAAGCAACTGAGCAAGCCATGAAGTGCAAGCCAGTGAGCAGCATTCCTCCGTGGCTTCTGCTTCGGTGCCTGCCTCCAGGTTCCTGCTTGGAGTTCCTGCCCTGACTTCCTCCAATAGATTGTGATATGGAACTGTAAGCTGAAATAAATCCTTTCCTCCCCAAGTTGCTTTTGGTCATGGTGTTTATCATAGCAACAGAAACATGGCAAGATAGGAGGCTGCTGGCTGGCTAGTCTGGCACACACACCAGCAAACAAACAAAGAGACCCTGTGCTAATCAAAATGTCAGGTGAGGATCAATGTCTGAGGTTGCCCTCCGGTCTCCAAGTGTACATCATGGAATGCACATGCCTGTACTCATATAGGTGTGTGCACGCACATCACACACAGAGATGAAAGCTCAGTGTGTGTGTGTGTGTGTGTGTGTGTGTGTGTGTGTGTGATTTTCAGCCTTTGTCAATCCTACAGAACTAGTGTTGTTATCCCTCAACAGATGAGGTCAGCCAGTAAATAAGTCACTACCACAGCCAGTGAGTGCTGAAACTTGACCCAGACCAACAGCCATTGAGAAATCCCTTACTTCCTTCTAAGAAATTATGGCTCTTGAGAGGACTGCTGTCTGGGTTATCCTTATCCAGAACTTTACAAGTTGTTTTGCCAAATTGTTTTCAAATATATTAGTTCCTTTAATTCTCACAATTCCATAAGGTGATATGAATTTCCTTAGAGATGTGTCCAAACGCTGTGTTCATCCCATTGTTTTACACTGTTTTCTGGGTTATTCACATTAAAGCGTCCAAATGCTGCTTCAGATTTCCATGGATTTAGCTACTGTCTGCTTTCATCACAACATCAGTGAACTCCAACTGGTCTGGAGCTTTTTGTTTTGGTAAAGGACAGGAGAATAAATGCTTCAGGTTTTATAGGCCAAGGTGCCAAATAATGAATCTTCAGTAGATACTAATAAAACCAGGAAGCAAACATATCCCCACAATGTTAATCTATTATTTTATGTCTATGAGTATTTTGTCTACATGTATGTCTGTGTAACACATGTGTGCCTAATGCCTCTGGAGCCAGAGAGGACTCAGATCCCCTGATGGTCATGAGCTATCATGTGAAACTGATAAAATTAAAGATGCATTAACAATAACTAGGTACAACTTTTAAAGTACATACCTAATAGGAAGAATTGAACTCTTTTTAACAATTTGAATAGTGCTTAGCTTAATTGGGGCTCTATGATTTTGGTGTCTACCATCAAACTGATGGTACAAGTATTCATTTCGATTTGGGAGCTGCCAATCTAGTGCGGCGCAGTGCAGCAGCAGCCACAAACCTAGAGTTTTTCAGAACTAAATCTGTGTTTATCGCTCACTTCTGTAAGGCCCTCAGGATGAACTAACCCCTTTGCTTTCCTTTATCCCTTTCTAGGCCAAAATCCGGAGAAGAACTCCTGGACAAGTCCGTTTCCGACACGTCTAAATTAAAGGGCGGATCTAACAAAATAAACTTTGACATAGCTGAGGACTAAGGTCTTCAGCAAGGCGCACAGATGACTAGAGACCTCACCAGCCCGGAGCAGAGAGGGCGGGGTGTCTGCCGATTGGAAAAGGTTTCGCAGAGTTCAGGGAACAACACCCAATTTGTCTCTCTAATCCTTTGACATTCTCCCATCTTCCTCTATAAATGGGGTCATACCTTAGGCCTGTGGAAGGAATCCACTCTCCTGGAATGTTGAGCACAGAATCAACCGCCCTGCCGGTGGCCCCGGATGCAGCTCCTGGAGCCAGAGCAGCATCCATCCCACCCCCACCTTCCCACCTGGCCGGTCCCTGAGGCGCCCAGTTTTCCTGAACTTCGGTGCCCAGCAACTCACAATTAAAGGCAAGGAACACATAGTGAAGAGCACCGTCATGAGAGCCAGCAGCACGAGGTGGTCCAGCTCCTCCAGGGGATGTAGGGACTCGTGCCCGTGACCGGAGCCTGGCTGGGCGCGGTCCCTGGGGCAGCAGCGTGAGTGGCGGCGCCTCAGGCGCCGGTGCATGGCGTAGAGGTTGTGCATGGCGCCCAGGTTGCACAGCACGGTAGCGAGGACCAGCAGCGCCATGAGGCTGGAGTAGAGCACAGAGAAGCCGAGAACCGACAGCGAGCGCTTCTCATGGACCATCTGGATGAAGCACCAGGTGCCCGGGCAGTACTGCACGAACTTCCCAAAGCCGGCGAAGGGGAGCGCGCAGAAAGCCAAGCAGAAGGCTCCCACGACCGGCGCCACCAGCGCTCCCCGGCGCAGGGTGATGTGCCGTTGGTAGAAGAAGGGGTGTCCCAGAGACAGCCAGCACTCCAGCGCCATAGCCAGCAGCTGTAACGTCGAGGCTAGCCCAAAGAAGGACATGATGAAGGCGAAGGCTTGACATAGCCCATTGCCTGCGGTAGGCAGCAGTTCCTGCAGGCTCCGATTTTGCGCGTAGGCAGCCAGGACCACCGAGCTGACCAGACACTTGCCTAGCAAGTCAGTAACCGTCAAGCCACACACTAGCACGTAGAAGACCGAGGGTGGCGGGCGCAGCGGCCGCTGCCGGCAGGACCCCAGGCCCGAGCGCGCCAGCAGCACCAACGCCAGCAGGTTGCCCAGCAGCCCGGCGCTGAAGAGCACGCCACCCATTGTCGCCGAGGAGCCCTTTTCCACCCAGGAGGATGCATGGCAGCGATAGTAGGACCCGTTCATGGCCCTTGCCGCGTCCGGCTAGAAGGGAGGCTGCAGCCGGGCCAGGTGCGGAAGAGCCCCGGGCCGCTCCCGGCGCCGCTGGGGCACAGAGATGGTACAACAGAGAAAGGTCAGCGGGCAGCGGCTGGGTGTTGTTCACAGCCAGTCCTCCTATCTAAGCTCCCGGGACACACCCCTCGAGGAGGGCGGGACGCTGCCGCTGTGAGTATCCCAGCTGTAAGCAGCTCTGCTGAACAACACCCAGCCCTCCTATCTAAGCTCCCGGGACACACCCCTCGAGGAGGGCGGGACGCTGCCGCTGTGAGTATCCCAGCTGTAAGCAGCTCTGCTGAACAACACCCAGCCCTCCTATCTAAGCTCCCGGGACACACCCCTCGAGGAGGGCGGGACGCTGCCGCTGTGAGTATCCCAGCTGTAAGCAGCTCTGCTAAGAGCTCTGTCCTAATGCACAAGGGTCCGGAGGAGAGACAGACCTTGTACCCAGAGTCGGGAGGAGAGGGGAGAGTCGCCAGACTGTGAGCACCCGAGGCCGGTCCTTCAGAGGAGGCAAGAGAGCTGCAGACACACAGAGGGAACGGACTAGGAGCTAGTGGGGAGAAGGGAAGCAGCGGAGCTGGTGGTTGTGGTGGTATTGTGTTCCCCAAAATATTGTGCACCCTAATAAACTTATCTGGGGTCAAAGAACAGAACAGCCACTAGATACAGAGGCTAGAAAATGGTGGCACTCACACTTTTAATCCTAGCATTCCAGAGGCAGAAATCCCTCTGGATCTCTGTGAGTTCAAGGCCACACTGGAAACAGCCAGACATGGTGACACACGCCTTTAATCCCAAGAAGTGAGCCTTTAATCCCAGGGAGTGATGGCAGGAAGCAGAAAGGTATATAAGGCGTGAAGACCAGAAACTAGAAGCTTTTGGCTTGGTTAAACTTTTAGGCTTTGAGCAGCACAGTTCAGCTTAAATCCATTTGGATAAGGACTCAGAAGCTTCCAGTCTGAGGAAACAGGATCAGCTGAGGAATTAGCAAGGTGAGGTGGCTGTGGATTGTTCTGCTTCTCTGATCTTCCAGCATTCACCCCAATACCCAACTCCAGGTTTGTTTTTATTAATAAGAACTTTTGAAGATTCCTGCTACAGGTGGTGGCTATGAACTCTGCAGATGACCAAGCCCGGAGTCTGAGAAAGGGCTATGGTCTACTTTTCTCAAATTAGTTTAAATAATTAACATTGGCACCACTCCTGAGCCTTGGTTCCAATTCTCTTTTAGATCTCTGCAATGTGAGCTTTGGCGATGAGGTGAGGAAACAGGGCGCCTTGGAAAAGCAGAGGAGCTGGTGAGCATGGCAGAGGCAGGCAGGGAGTGGCAGCCAACCAGGAATCAGGTGTTTGTTGAGTTCACCTGTCCCCTTCAATGGCTCTTCCTCCCAAGAGGCTGACTAAATTTCGGGACCAGCTTTTCCTACACATGGAAAACCAAGCGGTGATATCGATATGAGTGGCAGAAACCACTATGACTGTGTAGCCAGGGTGACAGGGATATGGTTAAGAGCATTGATGCTGCCATCAGGCCTGGGTTCAAGTTCTGGGTCTGCTGTTACTGTTTGTGTGAACTAAGACTTGCTCAGCTTCCCAAACAGTGGCGTCTGTCCTGGCTGCTTGGTGCCTTTGAAGTATGGAGGCAAGATATAGAATGTGCCTTGGGAGTCCTTGGTGCATGTGGTTGCCACAATATCATTGGGGGAAAGCGTTGGTTTTTGTTGGCTTATTTTGTTGCTGATAGGTAGCTGAGAGTTTTAACCTGGAGTTTGAAACCAGCCCCTATTAGCCTTGTTTTAGAGCATTACCATTCTTCTGTCCTGTGACTATTGGAGAATCCTTCTTCCTTTCTGGCTGTGACTTGCCTACATCAAGATAGGAGGGGGTGTTAACTGGGGTTTCTTTATTTAACACTCCATATCTTGGGACAGAAACTGGCATCCAGAGTGGAATTTTAGAGGGACGATTTGGGCTAAATTACGTAAGCAAGTAGAGTATGCCTTGGCATGAAGAGCTTCGTTTGCAGCATTCTCTGATGGACAGGGTCAGGGAGAGGCCAGGGCCCCCAGCTTCAGGAATCCCGAAGGGAGGGCAGAGAAGCTGCCTCCCAATGAAAGCCTGACCTGCAGTTCAGGCCACAGAACAGCAAGAGTTCACGCTTGGAAATTACACAGGACCTTTAGGATTCTGGTTTTGTACTTCAACCTCTCCGAGTTTTAGTGTCCTTATCTGTGGGCTAGGGGGTGTCTTTGACCTCCTGGGATTGCTGTGAGGCTGAGAAAAAAATAACAATAGAGGGCCTGACACAGAGTAAGGACAGTAAAAGCTAACTTGGAGAGCCTTGTCTCTGCTGGACAACCTCTAGGCCTTTCAGGGTGTGCTGACTCCATGAAGGCCTTGCATGAGGTCAGCCCTTGTCTATGCTGGACAACCTCTAAGCCAGCATTTCTCAACCTGTGGGTCACGACCCCCAGAGAGGGTCACCACAACATGAGGCACTGTATTAAAGGGTTGTGGATTAGGAAGGTTGGGAACCACTGCTCTAGGCCTTTCAGAGTGCACTGACTCTCTGAAGGCCCTGCCTGGGCTTAGCTATATATCTTATGCCTTCTCTTTCACCCCTATCTCCTAGCAAATCATAATGAACTTAGACGAGCCCCACTTGACTATGACAGAGCTGAAGGGGAAGGAGGCCCTACGGCCAACAACAGGAGAATCAGATGAAGGCTGAGGTCTCTTCTCTAGACAGACACAAATTTATATCAAGTTCAGAGATTCACCGTATCCTCAGGTTCCACTGTGGTATCTGGAGGAGACCTAGTAAACTCAGTTTAAGAATCCTGCCATTAAAGGCATTGCTTGGGCATTCTCCTGAAGAACACTTTAATTCTTGGTGATGTTTCCTCTTCCTCTATTTACCTATAGCTTTCTCTGCCCCAAAGGTGCAGGGCAGAGGGAGAGAGCCTAATCATGTGAATGATTTTTTTAAAAACAACCTCCAAATATGCGCCATGGGTCCCTGATGTGGTTTACATACGTTGTCATCAAAGACAGAAAGTTTGAACAGTACGATTAAGGAAACTACACATTTCCTCCTGGCCAGAGCAGCTGGCCTTCACCATGGGGTTTCCGGCAGCCTTTCCTGCAAGCTTTGCTACTGTCCACCCTGCCTCAGTTCAACTTCAGAGTCATCCATCCTTGTCCCTAGGAAACCCTATCCACTGACTTCACTGTAGAGCTGTGGAAAACTACCATTTCTTCATGCACCATATATTTTGTTGAGCTCCTAGTCCTGCCAGGCATAGGAGGGGTCGGTAGGTTCTTAAGCCCTTACTAGAAAGGGAAGGCAAACATGTCATGTGGCCTTTAGAATCTTCTAAGTTTTTATATCAGCTTTCGGAGTTAGCAGGGCCAAGCTTCTGTTTGCCTTAGAAACTTTTAATGAAAATATCTCACATCAGAGACGATCTAGATGTGCTTCTCACGCAGCCCGTGGCTGGTACAGTGTGGGTGACCTGGAAGGGCTTGGGAGGTTTCCTGTGAGAACTGAGTCTTATCTTTGTTCCCTGATGAAGTCTATCATCTCTAGATCTCAATTTCCTTGGGAATGAAGGATCATTTGTCTTGAGCATGTGCTGTGGGATGTCTTTCTGTATGCTGTGAATATGTGTTGCTCTGATTGGTTGATAAATAAAGCTGCATTGGCCTATAGCAGGGCAGGATATGGTTAGGTGGTGCATTCGTACTGAAGACAAGATGAAGAAGGGTGGAGTCAGAGGAGACGCCAACCCAATGCTGAGGAAGCAACAAGACGCCAGCAGACCAGTCACACCATGGCCATGTGGCAACATATAGATTAATAGGAATGGGTTGAGTTAAGTTATAAGAGCTAGCTAACAAGAAGCCTGACCCATAGGCCATACAGTTTGTAATTAATATAAGCCTCTGCGTGTTTACTTGGGACCAAGAGGCTGCCAGATGCCGATGGGAGAGATTTGTCCTGACCGCTGGGCTGGGGAAGACCAGAGAAACTTCTGGGCATAAGCATGTTTTAGAAACACCTGGAAAGATGGCTCTGCAGGTAAAGGCATTTGCTGTGCAAGCATGATAATACAGGTTTAATCTGTGGAATCCACACAAAGGTGGAAGGAGAGAACTGACTCTACAAAGTTGTCCTCAGACCTCCACACACATGCCCACCATGGTATACTCCCAACATCATACACACAATAGTCAGATTTTTTTTTTAATTGGAAATATCTAGAAAGATATAAACACTTCTGATTCTTCCACATCCAAACCAAGTATATCAAACATTCTGATGGTACTTTCTGTGCTTCAGAAGTTTGTTTGTTTGTTTATTTATTTATTTTAGGTTCCTCCAATTAATCTGCTCTGCCCCTAGCATGTGAAGTACACGCTCTGTAAGGCCCTCTAAGTCATGTTAGTTGATGCTTTAGTCTTACAAACTACACCACAGAAGCCTCCACTATTCATTCTCAGATAAGGAAAATGAGATGCAGAGAAGTTAAGCTGTTTGCATTCACATAACCAATACTTTACGAGTCTAGGGGGCATCTGATCTGGATTTTCTAAGCATCTACTTTGGAGAGGTCATTGAGAAGTGAGAGAGAAAGCAGGGAACCTAAGATTTTCATTACCTGCTCAGAAGTTGGGAGCCACAGCTCCACCAATCAGAGACATGCTATCCCCTCTCTTTCTGTGGTTAGTATCATGTGCTCTAGTGGGCCCTATTATCATTTTGGCATGTTTGGCAATGTTTGTTAGCAGTTTAATAATGTCTTCGTCTCTTCTATTCCAACCCTCTACAACTAGTCAACCCTTTAGTTTGGCAAGAATCAAATATATATATATATATATATATATATATATATATATATATATATATATATATATATATATATATATGTTGTTGTTTTCAAATTGAGAAATTAAATTTTCCAGAGATTCTGAGACATGAGTAGGTCTTGGCCAACCTTCCTAACCTTCTATGTCCTTGTGTGAATCTGGATAGTGTTCTCTGTGTGTTTGGCACTGTACTTGAAGAAAACATAATTTTAATTTCCATCTGGAGGTAGCTTAAACCCCAAGGATCAGGATGAAGTCTGAACTTGTCTTTGGGTAATGGCGCTAGAGTCAATTAATGGCTGAACCGTTCATTCTCGTCCCAGTCACCGCTGTGGAGCTCCACTGATTACTGAGTTGCCAGCAGTTTGGTCCCAGTTCTAAGGAAGCTGTTGGCAGACACGGTTGGTTGGGTTCCCTGGGATAGGGTGTATAGGGTCTTTACTTTGAGATTAACACCCAGAGAAGGGAAGGGGCAGAAACTGGGCTGACAAGAAA